GTGTAAACAAAAAAGAAAGAAATAGCAACAGAGTTATGTAAAGCTGGTAATAGGCCTAGATGTCACCGTTACAAACTGCAGAATATGTTTTTAACCAGTACAAAAGAGATTCGTATATATATATATATATATATATATATATGTCATAAATTAATTGACTTAAAACATGTTTTTTTTTGTTACACAGTTCTAACCATGTTTCAAAAATGGAAGCTTAAAGCTCCGAATTTAATTTTGTAATTAAATTAAAGAAATTAGTTCCATTTCATCCTCAAGCGAATTTTGACTCCAAAATTCGTTTGAGGTTGAAATGGAACTAATGTCTTTAATTTAATTACAAAATAAATCGTTAGAACTGTGTAGCGAAACCCCCCCCCAAAAAAAAACATATTTTAAATTAATTAATTTATAATATTAATGCTCTGAATTTACATTGAGCACTATTTTGTAAAAATAAAAATATCGATATGAACACCGGATTATATATCTTACTGTTCTTTCTTTTTTTTATATATATATGTGTGTGTGTGTCTTTAGGCAGCAATCCTTCATTTATACATGTTTCATTAATAACGACAGACAAGGTACTACGATTAAGCTTTTTATGTAATTTTTCTTGGGTTCGAACAAGTGTTTTCTTTTTTGAGGCACAGAGTCTTTAGAAACTCTCCAAATGTTCTATAATTCCGAGCGTTTTCGACTATAATTTTAGTCATTATCAAGGATGATTTTATTTTTTCAATTTAATTGGGTGTGTGGGTTGTACGTATGTTATAGTGTTATAGAGATGGCTAAAAGTATAGCCGAAAGCGCTCGGAATTATATAACATTTCGACAGTTTCTACACAACCTGTATCCAAAAAAGAAAACACAAGAAAAATTAAATAAAAAGCTTAATCGTAGTACCTTATCTGTCGTCTTTAATGAAACGTATACATATATATAGTCAGTTCGATTCTCACTGGGTGCCCCATAATTACGGCCTTGTGCCACAACAAATCCACCCTTATTAAATAACTTGGCACATCGACGTTGTTCAGTGTTTAGCAAGTTTTTCTCGCTAGATCAATTACGACTGAATAGTGAATTCGATCCTCACTGGGTGCCCCATATATTCGACCTCGTGCCACATCTAAACTAGGCTAGAAAATTACTAATCGTAATTGACCTGGGGGTTCCAACAAAGACTAATAAAAATATATGGAAGATGAGTTTGTAAATAATAATAATAATAATAATAATAATAATAATAATCTTGCTATAGCAACAGAAAATGATCACGGCTGAAATAAAGTAGTGCAGTAGAGGAGCCTTGAAAAACAATGTAGCAGAAAGGAAAATTGTTATTAAAGACCACAAACAAAAACGGTGCCTCCTTATTGATATAGCAGTCCCTGCTGACTGCAATGTATCTTTGAAGATATTCAAAAATCTGTCAAAATACAAGGACCTTGAAATAGAAATCTCGAAAATGTGGCATATGGGAACATCAACAATCCCTGTTGTAGTTGGAACCCTAGGACTGGTTGAAAAAGATTCCAGTAGACTAATTGAAGGGATTCCTGGAAGTCCATGCCTCAAGGAGATACAAAAAAATTGTTCTGACAAGTACAGCCCACACTTTACGAAGGGCTTTATGTAATTTCCTTCTTAAAAAAAAAAATTTATTTATTTATTTATTTTTTTTTGTCAGTGGAAAGTGTCATGATGCCATTTCTAACCGCCCCTGGGCGGGACCCGGAATAAAATGTGTCAACGCCAGAAATCAAAGAAAATAATAATAATAATAATGTGATTGACGTAACTCTTCCAATATTTTTTCGACACTTAAGACAAGTGTTGCCCGGTCTGTCCTGCTATTTAGCCAAAGTTAAAGAGGATTCATACCTTTCCCAAGGGTATTAGCACGTAAGTGAATGTAATGGATTCGATTGGATTTCGAACTCGGCTCTCCGATTCCTCAATTTGAACCGCTATCCTTTACGCCTCCGTGTAAACATTTAGTTAGTAGTTAGTTGTTAGTAATGTTCAACAGAACTTGCAGAACATTATATTATAAACCATTGTAATTTCGATAAGCAAGTGGAAACTGATTGAGTCCTCTTAGTAACTAGTCAACTAATAACGAATGAAACTGGTGGGGGGGTTCATTTGTTTTGACGCGTTGATAACCAATACAGTTTTTTATTTCATCACAAGACAAGCAACGTTTGTACAAAGACTTATTTTTTGTAGATTTATTTACTTTTATACTTGAAAAAATTCAAAAATAAACTTGAAGAAGATAAATAGGGTGCGAGGGATAAATTGTCGCCATTTTATATGCGTTTCTTGTTTTTGTTTTTGTCGTCTGTATATTATAATAGAGTCAGTTGGGCGCCATCTGTGAGAAAAAAAAAACAAAAAAAAAACAACAAAATCACCAACCTTGGCATTCGCACCGGAAACTTCAATACGAACATTTCAGAGAGTTTGGGTGTCACTCTGAGGAGAGTGCAGAGTATACGGAAAGAGTTGGATGAGTCTAATGGTGTTTACGAAGATATTTGAAAAGATCACTAGTGATGGCGACGTTATGCCTCCATTCATCTTCCCACAAGGCCTCAGACTCAACACAGGGACCTACATCAACTGTCTTAAGGAGGTAATACTTCACTGGTTCAAGAGGGTAGCTGCTGGAAGACCCTATGTCTGGTAAAAGGACTCTACACCATGCCACACAAGCAGGAGAACCCAGTCATGGCTGTCATATTACCCCTTACATCTGACCACCTAACTCTCCATATGTGCACCCCACTTGGTTATTATGTGTTGGGCTCAGTTGAGGGAGAAACTAACAAAACTCCTTGTAACACCAAAGATGAACTGAAGGCAAGGATTATGGCAGCATTCACTAGCTTAAACAGGGAGACCGTTCAGAAGAGTTGCAGGAGATTCTAAAGTCGTCTGGAGGCCGTGGTTGAAACCAATGGCGATTTTATTGAATAAATTTACTCTTTATTATTTCAAGATATTTTTGTGTAGTTTGGTAGTATATGTTTCAAAATGAGATGTAAGTATTTTCATTTTTGCGTAATTTAGACGACAATTTATTCATTGCAGACTGTACTGTTGAAATATTGTTTATGATTGCCAAACTCTGTTTTTTCTTTTCTTTTCTCAAATCACGCTCTTCTGTTAAGTGTTAAAAATATTGGAAGCGTTGCGTCAATATTTTTGTCGATAATAATAATAATAACCTTTACTGACTGGAAGTGTAAAGTGTTAATATACTGTTCAATACTGCAAATTTGTTTGTTAGTTGCCTGACATTAATCAGCTGGGCATATCCCGTATGAGTTGACTCACTGGCAACTCCGTTCATGAGCGGAAGTAGTGGGAGAAACATCATACCCGGATATCGAGAGGGTTGATTTTTTTTTTTAATTTGGAGGATGAAGTAAGGCGATTTGTGAGTCAAATCTGGTTACTTTTGGATGTTCTCCACCGGAGACCGTCAGGACGGACTGGGGTATCCTACTGAAGGTATTTCTAAACTGTACCCGACTTGCAAGATTATTTAATAACAACCTCTCATCATATCTCACAGATTTGACTGTGCTGCATGTACCTGGTATACTCTTATCAATCTGGGTTAACTACAAATAGAAGTATATAAGGGTATATTGCAGCCAACTGTATAATATATACATAAACACGCAGCTACGAGGGTCATTCAATAAATAAGGTAAATTTTTTGGTATGAGGACTTCTAATACAGATAGAAGCTTACTTTTTTGAATTTTTTTTTGTTTTACGTCTTTTTCACATGGATTTAATTTCTTTTGCAGATTAAAAAAAAAAAAAAAGTTTTGGCAATTAACAAAGATGGCCGACCAAGAAGCATGCTCCACGATTGAACAGCGGTCAGTTATCAAGTTTTTGGTTGCTGAAGGGTGCAAACCAGTTGAAATTCATAGGAGAATGTCAACTGTGTATGGTGCCACATGTTTCAGCCAAACAAATGGGAGGCCTACAGAAGTGAGGTCTCCTGAGGTGATCGAATCAGTCAATGACCTCATTCAGTTTGACAGAAGAACTACTGCGAACTGCTGAGGCAGGTCAAGAAAGACATAAAGAACAAACGCAGGGGTCATCAGTCAGAAGGAGTCATCTTGCATCATGACAACGCAAGGCCTCACACAGCAGCCCAAACGGTGCAGACCATCAACCAGCTGGGCTGGGAACTGCTCCCTCATCCCCCTTACAGTCCAGACCTTTCCCCTTCAGACTTTCACCTGTTTGGTCCCTTGAAAGCGTTCACGAGAGGCACAAAGTTTAAAAGTGATGATGAAGTCAAAAGTGTTGTGAGCGACTGGCTGAGACATCAGTCCAAAGATTTTTACGCTGAGGGAATACGGAAGCTTGTGCACAGGCGGGAAAAGTGTGTGACAGTGCTGGGAGACTACGTTGAAAAAAAGAAAAGAAAAAAGTAAGGTTCTATCTGTATTAGAAGTCCTTATACCGAAAAATTCACCTTTATTGAATGACCCTCGTATATTGACTAGCCTGTTTCTATGACTTATGGATGTGCAGGTGGTCTAATAGGTATTGGGTGTCGTATATTTGTACCCCGTCACTTTATTGGTAGTCGGCTCTCCCATTCACTCAATAATAATAATAACTAGAACGACCCGTGAAAATTTTACGGTTTTCCTATTTTAATTTTTTGAATGAATTTTAATTCTTTGGTTAATGATTGAGTAATCTGATGGCGAGTTCTGCGGCAATAAAATATTCGTAGAAATTCCCCTACGACATAGTTACATACTTGAGTTTAACAACTTTAAGAAAATATTGCAATAACAATCATAATATGAATGCTGGCAGTTATTTTAAGAAGGAAGCGGGTACAAATGAAAAGATTTGAGATGCTTCCATTTTGCTGAAACAGACGTTAAACACTTCTGTCTTCCCTTCTTTCTTTCATTTTCTCACTGAAACCAAGTAGCGCCATTGATATGCCTTTTGTATTCTCACACCATGAAGTATGGGCATTACCGGAAGATATTAAACGCATCTATCTATCTATCTATCTATCTATCTATCTATCTATCTATCTATCTATCTATCTATCATTGAAACCAAGTAGCGTCTCCAATATATCTTTTTTGTATTTCCACGCTATCAAAACGGAATGGTCCATTATTTATTAGGTATTGACAAGGCGTAACGGTCGTGCGAGGGGACGAAGGGAGGGACAAGCACAATAATAATAATAAAGATGGTACGTAGAGAAGAGAGCGATTTAAGTGTTTAACAATGCTTGACAACATTTCGATAGTACGTCTATCACGTGGCCGATTGGTTAGAACGTTCGCATCCTGATAATGAGACCCGGGTTCGATTTGTCAGGAGACTTCCTGAACTTACCGGACTGTGTGCGGCAACTATGGAAAGTGCCTGAAAACCATACCACGGGCCTTGTGAGTGAAATTGGGTAGACGGAACCCTTGGTTTCGTGGCCGAGGGTTTAGCATGCTGGCCTTGTTCAAATTGTTGATCACTCTAGATAACACGCTCTTTTCCAGAAACTGTAACTAAGGTTTGCTCAGCATAGTTGCAGCATAAAGCACAGGTGGGCTCTGTGTGTGTTGAATAAACACAAATGCGCCTGAGCAACCGTCTGCAATAGGGATTGGCTAGCCGCCCTAGTAGACGGATATCCTCGAATACGAGTGGCTAGTTATACACATACAGTACGTGTATCAAGTTGAGTCCGACCCATCATGTTACTTACGTTTAAGTTGCATTCCATTCATACTAGATGCGTTTGATCGGCTTTGTCGTGCTGATTAACAGTCCAACCGTTTTTCTCAAGACAAACTACGTTTGTTCAAAGACTTGTATATTTTTTCCATTTTTAAATATTTTTTTTTATACTTGTATGCAATTTTTAAACATTACTTAAAGAAGACGGACATCATGTCGACATAGTGTTAAACATTTTTAAATACTGTTTTTCATTTTCTTTTCTTAAATCACGCTCTTCCCTAAGTGTTGCAAACCATTGCAATAATGGCGTCAATCATTTTTTAATAATAATAATAACAACAACACGGCAATATAAGGCTAACGGCCACATCATATACGGTCACCGAAGTTAAGCAAAGTCGATCTTGTTCAGTACCTAGATGGGTGGCCGCTTGGGAATACCAGATTTCGTCTTAAACATTGTTTCTGCTTACATTGGTTCCCGTACGATCAACGTAGTTAAGCAAAATCGACTCTGGTTAGTATCTAGACGGGTGACCGCATGTTAATATGAGGTGCTAAGCTTGGATGTGCGGGTGTAAGGAATAATGGCTCGTTGGATTCGTTATTCACAAATACTTTTGGAAAAGGCATGAAACCACACCTTCCCTCTCCAGCTATGAGTTAAGTATAGGACTTTCATCGTTAAAACATCATCATCTCCAAAAATAAAATAAAATTGCGTATAAAATATTTAGATTTTGGTAATAAATAATCGATAGAGGTTGATGTGCAATTGAACCAAACCAAGCAAACAACTGCAGTATAATAGATTTTGTACACTAGATGGTATATAAATAAAAATATAGAGAGAGCAGGAAAGTGATGTGTGTTAGAACCAATTAAACTAGTGAAAAATGACAGTTTAAATCCGCTTAATGATTCACCATTCTATGCGATAATATCAATGAAGCAAGAACGATAGTGTTGAGTCAATGATATAGCGGTAACGGGTGACGTAATCGTAGTTGTGAAAGGAAAAAAAAAGAGGTATCAAGTTTTGAAACATGAGATATCATGCTTAGATGGAGTCTTGAGAGAGAAGTTGTTCCTGTTCTTGTGGGCACCATTGGGAAGACTGGCTAAGTAAAATTTGGACTACAAGAAGACAGAATGCATGGTTATCATCAAAAGAACGAGCCCCGAAACAGAAACTGCAAATCGGGGAAACTAAATTCAAAAACATAAAAATATTTAAATATTTGGAAAGAGCACGGAAAATGTGACACTGAGATCGGAAAGCGTATTGGGATGGCCAAAGATGCATTCCTAAATCTAAGCAGAGTATTAAGACACAGACAATTTTTTGTTAGAAACAAAGAAAAGATACAATTTGCAGGTCGGGGACGCTAAAATCCACCAGGTGAAGAAGTTTAAATATATGGAAAGTGAGTGCGACGCTGAGATCCGGAGACTGATGAATTGGCCAAGAACGCATTCCAAAATGCGATACCTGTCTTTCTGGATGGCAGCGAATACTGGACAATCTCCCTAAAATTGATGAAGAGACTAGAAGCAAAAGAAATGTAGTTCTACAGGAAGAGGCAGCTGAAATTTTTGGGACGTGTAATGAGGAAAGAGGGCTTGGGAAAAGTAATACTCACAGGACTGATTGAGGGAAAGAGGGGCAGAGGAAAGCAGCGGGTAACATACTTGATGAGCTTCAGTAAATGGATGCCAGAACAGGGTTTGGGTGAAATAGCAAAAAGACAAAACTTATTAAGAGCTACAAGGAGCAGAAAGATGTGGAGGGCCATGATCATCTACGTCCTGAAGGGGCACGTTACGTAATAGAAGAAAATTTGGAGTGTGAGTTGAACTGAGATGCTTTAGAACGCAACACTTTTGGGGGCAGCCAGAATTCCATGAAAGTTTTTAACGACATAAAGAGGTGAATAAATGACTGAACTCATGACCATTTGTTATTTTGCCGTCATTGTTAAATTACGACATAAGTTCTACTTGAAAAAAAAATGAAAATAATTTAATCGGGTTTGATAAAAATCAGATTAGCTAATAATAATGAATTCAACATAGATACTTCCAATAATTCGCTGAAAAAAAGTATAACATAAGGAAAAGAGGCCCCAAAATTAATAAAAACAAAGTTTTATTGTCAAAATATTTATGTTATTCTTAAGAGGAAAGAACAAAGTATCTTTAAATTATTTTAAAATTTTTTTAATCCTTTCTAACTCGTTCGAAATTTTGGTTAAAAATCTTTTTTTTTTATGCGTCAACGGTGCAACAGAACTGGGAATAGACATTTTCGCGCCTGTTTTCCGGTAAAATAACACAATAATTTGGAAATTCTTGCAAAAATCAAATAATTGTCGGATTTTAATGAAACTTTCAGGATTTATTTACAAATTCATTTAAATCTTATGAAATGGTTACCGAATTGTTGGAGGTACCGGGTTAGAAAAAACAAAAACAAAAACAAAAAAAAACAAGCAAAATAAAACAGTGGTAAGGATTTATTTTGTATTTCAGATGTAACAGCCTCGAGTGAAAAAGCTAAGAAGAGCAAAAAAAAAAAAAAAAAAATAACATGAAATAGCGCAAACAAACAGGAAGAGAGACAAAAAGAAAAAATCAAACTCTGCCTGTATTTGTCAACAGTTTAAAGTTATACGCATGAGCATACAGTAAAAATTAAAAAAATATGTCGTATCGAATCTTAATGGCGTTTGAACATAAAAATAAATAGCGAAGTTCAATTTTAAAAGAAAATTTGCTTTGAAAAGAAAGCTAAAAAAAGAGTTTACATTTTTTTATTAACAGTTTTTTGGAATATCGAGCGACTATCATCAGCGAGGCAATACTAAAAGAATTGGAAATCCTACCAGGATTAAGCATTGGCGGCCACAATCTTAACAACATAAAATACGCAGATGACACAGTACTGATAGCAGACACGGACAATTACAAAACCTCGTACAAAAGGTAGCGAGGGAAAGCGAGAAGAAGGGACTAAGCATAAACAACAAGAAGACAGAATGAATGTTCATCAGTAAAAGGATGAGCCCGAAATCGATTTGCAGGTCGGAGACGCTAAAATCAAGCAGGTGAAGAAGTTTAAATATCTGGAAAGTACATTATTTACATTATTCGGACAACTGTCCTCATCTTTTCCGCCATATCTATCACAACGTTTCGGCCGTTGTACGCTCCGGCCTTCTTTAAATAATGTACATAATACCTCATCTCAGAAATATAAACAGAAATTTCATCTGCCTCTTCCTGATGTTAAGTGTAGTATAAGCTTCCTCTGGAAAGTGTTTTGACGGAGGACGGTAAGTGCGACGCTGAGACCCGAAGACGGATTGGGATGGCCAAGGACGCATTCCAAAAACTGAGCCGAGTATTACAAGACAGGAGGATTTCTTTGTTAAAAAAAGTATAGAATACTAAGCTGCAACGTGACATCTGTCCTTCTTTACGGAAGCGAATGTTGGACGGTCTCCTTAAAGATGAAGAAGAGACTCTAGGCAACGGAGTTATGGCTCTACAGAAGGATGCTAAGGACATCATGGACCGGGCGTGTGAGCAACGATAAAGTCTTAGAGAGGATGCAAACAAGGAGGAAGCCTACACTTCACATCAGAAAGAGGCAGATGAAATTTCTAGGGAACGTAATGAGAAAGGAGGGCCTGGAGAATCTGATACTCACAGGTCGAATAAAGGGAAAGAGAGACAAAGGAAAGCAACGCATGGTATACCTGGCGGGCTTAAGCAAGTGGATGACAGAACGTGGTCTGTAGAAGGTGGCAGAGGGACAAAACTTATTGAGAGCTACAAGGGATAGTGGGAAGTGGAGAGCCATGATCGCCTACGTCCTGAATGGACACGGCACATAAAAGAATCAAATGTTACTATTTGCCTGTTGATTTTTCTTTCCGACGGCTGAAGTCTAACAAACAAGCGAATGCAAACATTGAACTTAATGATCACAAAGTTTGATCTTGTGATAGACAAAATGAAATTTTTTTTGTTTGGAAAATATAAGGAAAAAGAATAGGAAAGAGCGAACAGCAAGGGAAAGAGAAAAGTTGTATGACGAAAAATAAAAGAAAGAGAAGAGACAAAAACAGAAAAAAACAATTGATTCGTAGAGAGAGGGAGAGAAGGAGGAAGAAAGAGAGGGAGAGGAGAAAAGAGATATAGAGAGAAAGACAGAGATGAATTGATTCGTAGAGAGAGAGAGAGATGAAGAAAGAGAACAAGAGAGAAAGAGAGAGGAGGAAAGAGAGAGGGAGAGAAAAAGAGCGAGGGAAGAGAAAAAAACGATTGATTCGTAGAGAGAGAAAGAGAAAGAAGAAGAAAGCGACAAAGCGAA